CTTATCTTATCTTATCTTAAGCGCCGCTCTCAAGTAAGCGCCGCATCAAACGTGATTGTTTTCGCTAAGCGCCGCTCCCGAATAAGCGCCGCAGGGCTTAAATTCGAGTGAATATGCGCCTGTGTGCAATGAAACACTTTAAGAAATAGGGCACTAAATGCAATGTATACACAGTGTTCAAATAAATAAATAACACACTGAAGACACAAGCATATCTTTATAAACGTTAATTTACGATGATGTAGGCTCTATGATAGGCTTACCGAACTATGGGAATACGTGAGATAGGTAACATAGGAACAATGGAAAGCGCCGCTACGCCAATATTGTTTTAATAAGCGCCGCATTGAAGACTCCAAATATTTTATAAGTGCTTCGTTTCCGCTTGACATCCCCACCCCCTCCCTCACCCCTACCCCTAAATAAAAATTGGGCCTACGGCTAAAGACTCCTTGTATTGCAATTCACTACCACACGGATCGACGACCATGATGCTCGTTCAAAGGTGAAAATAAATGTATGAGGTTGGTTCTTACCACTGTATAACACATTAGTACTCTTAGCTATCATCAATAATTGCGAAGATATTGCTATTGATGATAAAATCAAGCTGTAGAACACATTATAGGCAAGATTTTGCAATTAACTATTCTATCGAAGAAAATTAAAAGATGCAATACACAAGAGCATTTGCTTTTCTTTGTAAATACAAAACGGAGAGCCAGTAGAAGCGGTCCTGCAGATCAGGCGCGTCTCGCTCGACCAATCAGTGTCCTTGTGAGATAAATATTAGTTTAACAGAATAATAGATTGTCTTCTTCTAAACGCTTCAGTTGTGGCGCCAGCGGGGGGGGGGGGGGGGGGAGCAAGGCCCCGTCGGGGAGAGCTTCCCCCGGTCGGGGAGAAAAAACACAATTCGTCGAGAAGAAAAAAAATTATATGTATTTTCTACATATTAGTAGATTCTAAAATCGATTAAAAAAGCCTTTGAAACCCCTAATTTTCCAAAAATTGGGGGCTTGCTTTCAGGATCACTTTTGAAACATTTTAAGCGACGCTCGACCACTCCCACTTTGCTCTCGTCGGGGAAACCTGCCTCAGCCTCGGCCTCCCGTCGGACATCGGACCTCCCGTCTGGCAAATCCTGGCACCACCCCTGTTACTCAGTGTTCTTTGAAGCCGAATTTTCCAATGGAACATACAATTGGTTCAATTACTTCTCAGTTGTGAATTCGGCCTTCCGGACGAGGAATTCATTCCCCGGCGCCACGTTTATAAATTTCGCGCCGAATTCACTATTGTATGTACATTAACACACGGTATAAGTCGAAGTTACAGGAGGGGTGGTTTTATTTGGGTTCCTGTTACACCGGCAGGATTTCCCGAGTAAAGGCTCCCATCGTATTAAAGTATTGAAACTTTCATAGTCGTAGGTGGGGGTAACAGTGCAACCTCTTAAGTAACCGCTTTCGACCTAGCGTGTCTATTGAATACTCGCACTAAGTATATGCCTCAAGAGGACAATATATATTTTATAACGATAGGAAGATAGTAAATAATATATAACATAATAATGGATTCAATGTCTGTGTTCTCATTCTCTGGAGGAATATTTCCTATAGATAATAATAGCAGTGGCGTAGAAAAATATTTTTCATTGGGGGGATGATTGGCGTCGTAACAGGCGCGGGGGCGGGGGAGGGGAAACTGCCCCTCCCCTGACGGTTTTTACCGGGTTGACCAAGCCGTCGTACCGGGCTGGGTAAGAGAAAAGAAATAGGGGAGGTTGAGGGAAAGAGAAAGAAGAGGAAAAGAAAAGAAAAGAAAAAGAGAAGAGAAAAATAAAGACAAGAATAAAAAGGAAGATATCATAATGACCATACTCACAACACTCTGCAACCCATTCTCCACTTTAAAAACTGTCATAACTCCTTTGATCTATGCTGCCCGATGGCGTAACCACTGGGGAACAAGGTGAAAATATCTATCTTTGAAAATTCTTCCCCACCCCTTTATTAATGCCTTTTCATCCCCTGAAAGTGCCTAAAAACCTCAAATTTCGCGCGCATTTGTTGTTAACATGGCTCAATTTCCTCTAAAAATTGCACATTTTAGGGAGTTTTGATCAATTCCAACGAAATTAACATTAAAAACACTGGGGGACAAGGTGAAAATATCCATCTTTGGAAAATCTTTCTCCACCCCTTGACAAATGCATCCTCTGAAAGTGCCTAAAATTCTCAAATTCTTTGCGCACATTTCTTGTTACGGTAGGCCAATTCTCTATAAATTGCACATTTTAGGGAGTTTTCATCAATTCCGACAAATTAGGATTAAAAACACAAAAATATTTTGCGCGCTTGGCGCGCATTTTTTTTAGGGCTTTTTTAGTTTTATCCTAATATTTAAGTTATTTAAACACATAATAGTCCCAAACTCAAGAAGGACAAATTTAAGATAGATCATTTTAACTTAAAAGAAGGGCCTCAATGTGAATAGATGGTGAATGAGGATTGTTGTTGTTGTTGTTATTATTATTATTATGTTGTAATGATGTTGTTTGTACTGTTCTTTAATGTTATTAAAGAGGGTCCTGAATATCAATTAACCTACTGGGCTAAACTATAAGGGTTACCCTCTATAAAAATAAAAAAATAAAAAATAAATAAAAAAATAAATACCCACTCTGACCCAAGACCCCTGTTACGCGCCTGGTGTTAGCACCAATATGTGCCCTTGTGCGGACAGGAGATGTGCCCCGCTCTGAAGCTGGAAACCTTGTTTTTGCAACATAAATTGATGAAATTTGCTATTATAGGCCTAATCAATAAATTCCTCATCAACCGATATAACCTTAAACATTCTTGGAATTGACATAACATTACTGATGTCGTACACACCCTTCAGTGTGAAATATGGCTCTCTTTGCCAGCACATCTAACATCTAAGGAAAGAAGAGCTTAGATTGGTACCAGATAAAATAATGTTGTTATCAACATTAATACATTATGCTAATTTTCATCTTTGTAAGCGCATAATACAGTGCAAATTATTTCTGTGACAGTCTTTGAAGTGTGTAAATCTCCATTTTATCCCATACATAGTCAAAATATGGACCATCCCCCCCCCCTTGTCAAATATTGGGGGATATTTTCCCCCATCCCCCGGGATCTACGCCTATGATAATAGCTGTTGGGGTTATTAACATCACCCCACTTTTAAAGGTTTGTCACATGACCAAAGTACAATTAAGTTCAAATTATTAAAAACAAAAACAAAAAACCAGACGACAAGAAATCGTCATTTCACTCACTGTCTTTCAACTGACGAGTAAATTGCCAAAATCATTTTCATGATAATGAAAGTTTTCGAATTGGCGCTGCTTCTCCTGCTTGTCAACTCTTTTGCTGTAGGTGTGGGGGGGGGGCATTTTTTCTCTGAGCTGGGATGATACAGGTGAGAAAACACGTTTGACTTATCATCATCATCCTCACCCTACAATGTCATATCCCCTTCTACTTTTTCTTTCCTGGTGTCTCTTTTTGTCCGGAATTGGTTCATGCCTCTTAACAATTTCGCTTGAGTACTGTAGTTGAAATATTGGCTGTACATGAACTTGGATATCGTGTATTTGTATCACAACAAAGAAACAGTCATGAAGTGAATTTTATTTTTTTTTAAATTGGTCATGTCATTTTGTATGATTCAAAGACTTGTTAAAGCGAGAAAATCTAGGGGTTGTCTTGAAAGGAAGTGGGACCGTACGATGATGATGATGATAATTATGACGATGATGTTGAAAATTATTGAGGTGATGGTGCTTAATATTATTATTTAATTATTATTATTATTATTATTTATTATTATTATTATTATTATTATTATTATTATTATCATTATTATTATTAATATTAATATTATTATTAATATTACAATTCATTTTACTAATATTAGGGTCTATTACCTTATGTATAATGATGATGATGTGGTGTGATGGTGGTATATCAAATCAATTCAATATATTCAATAAAACCAGTAGGATACAAAAAACAAAAACAAAATAAATAAACCAAAAAATTCTTACATGCTTACATATTAGTAGAGACTTAACTAAGGTTTTCGGCGCCCGGGTCTAGAATGTAAATGGCACCCATTTCCAGGTTGGTTCTTTGTTCTGGTTGTTAAATAAGTCCTATTTATTAAAATGTTTGTCCAGGCTCATTTTTGAATTGGTTGTTTTTTCTTTTAACTTTTACAGAACGTATAAAGCAGATATAGGCCTATTTATTTCATGTTTTACCCTAAATCAGCGGAAAATTTTTATACAGCAATCTAGTTTGCATTTTGTTTATCACTTCTCTAATTTAAGTCTGTTATAATTTAAATTGTATTGTTATAACTGTTTGACGAAATAACTTAGATTAAAGTTTGGGGTCCCGGGGCACGTATCCTGTCTGCACCACCTGTAGATGCGCCTCTGAGTATGCATCTCTCACGTCTACGACGAAAATAATGATGTATTTCATTAATGTTTTTCACATTGATAGTGTTGTATCTAGGTGGAAAGCCAGGTGTAGAGCCCTCTCTGCCTTCCCTAAAAAAGTTTTATTATTATAATTATTATAATAATAATTATTATTATTATTATTATTATTATTATTATTATTATTATTATTATTATTAAGGGCCTATTATTATTATTAATATTATTATTATTATTATTATTATTATTATTATTATTATTATTATTATTATTATATTGTTTTCGAATTAGCGCTTCGAATCACACTAAGAATATTACCTAAACACGAAATTACCGGTATATATTATATATACGAATAATGATAAGAAGATAGTAAATAATGTATTATGTAATAATTGATTCATTGTCTGTGTTCTCATTCTCTGGAGTGTTAGTTATTAACATCAATCCGTGTTTAAAGGTTTTGTCACATGACCAGAATACAATTTATTTCAATTTAAAGAAAGCAGACCACAGTGAAACTTATCCTTTCAGTCACGGTCTTCAACTGAGTAAATTGCTAATACTGATGAAAATGAAAGTTTTTGAATTGGCACTGTTTCTTCTGCTTGTCTACTCTTTTGCTTGTAGGGGAAGTTTTTCTCGGAACGGGGATGGTGCAGGTGAGAAACACTGGGATCATTTCGACAGACATTTCGAGACTGCCCGAATATTGTTATAGTGTACTAAATGTTTTACAAATTATATTATAATAGTTTATTCTAATAAGCCTATTAGGATAAGTATACTTAGGGCCTAATTATTATGTTATTTTATTTTATTTTATTTCAATTCGTATCCAACAACGGGGACGTTTACGATCTTTACGAAGGTACATCCTGCAAAGGATTCATAACCACAGGGCAACCGGGATTGTATTGACCAGTACATCGGGGGTAACCCCCAAATGAACGATGTATTGGTTCTTTTTAAGTGCACATGAGTCAACTGGGCTCATGTTATAGTCCTTATCAGGGAAGACTTGTTCCACCACCAGAACCATAGGCGAGTATTGACTTAATCCTCGGCCATCCGCCTCGAGAGCCACCACTTACAGAATGGAAACACAAAACAATAAAAAAAACAAAAAACAAAAAGGAAAAACCAAAAAAAAAAAAAACCAAAAAAAAAAAACAAAAAACCAATCCAAATAACTAGATACATTACTTAATGTTAAGTTTGAAAATTGTAAGGAATAGGCCTATACGATACCAATAGATGGATCTTGAACGAGAGAAGAATTATAAAACATATAATATGATCAAATTACAATGTTATGTTATAATTTGTAGCATGTTCGCTGAAGTTTCTCTGTCCAATTTGTAATTTTGAAGAGCTCGTTGAGTTACGTTTATAGGCTTATTATAGAATAATATTATATATTTTTAGCTTATTTGATTTGTTACTATAAACATTTGCCAAAATATCAAATATATTTTTACATTGATGTAATATAATTAAACAAAATCATAAAACAAACATACACTGAGAATCCACTGGCGTTTGCATAATGACTCTGATGGTTAGAAGTTTCTACACCCTTGCCCTATAATAATAATGATAATTATAGTAATAAGATTTTTAAAAAAAATAATAATAGTAATAATAATAATAACAACAATAATAATATTGATAATAATAAGCCTATTACAATAGTTGGCGGTAATAAAGTCAATGATAAAGAGGATAATAATACTATTGATTATTAATAATTTTATTATTAATAATATTACCAATAATACTATTATTAATATTATTACCATACTATTAAAAACATTATTACCATATTATTATTATTATGATCATGATTATTATTATTATTATTATTATTATTAGGTCTTACATTGATTGATGGACAGATATGCATTGCATTTGAAGATTTAACTACGGATCAAATAACGTGTCTACGGAATTATGAACTTGAAAACATGGAAGCCGATAAAAGAAACAAGAAAAACAATAAAAATATTAAGAATTGCCGTAAGTTGTTCAAATATTAATAGTAAAAATAATGTTAATATTGATAACGATAATAATTATAATAACTAGACTTACTATGTCTGTTTAAACAACAGAAGATAGGGCTTTTCCCCGTTGCTTTAATAAGAAATGAAGTTGGAATTGCAACAAAAAAAGTAGTTAAAAGGTATAAAGTAAAAAAAAAAAACACGAAAAACCAATATAATTTTAATGAAGTGAAAAATAAAAACGAAAACCAAGTTCACTGCGGCGTATTAGTGAGACTTGAACTATGGCTGCAATGGCAATAACGAGGTACATCGCGACTTATAACTATTGCGTGCTATTAGCCGACCTTGAGTAGGAAAGTGCATTTTCAGTTCATAGTGTCAATCTATGGTGTGGGTGCATGTGAATGAAACTTATGGGAAAGTTACAAAGAAGAAATTTGTATGTGTTAGTGACAATCCAGTGAAGGGTGTAAATTTTAGGGTCTTTGTAATTTGAGGACCCAGACCTAAGTATCCCTTTAAAAAACACCAATGGGTCTAAATGAAACATTCTATAATACTTTGTAAAGGTCTAGTAGAAAAACTACTGAATGTTTGTGATGATCTGGAGTATAGTGTGGATCAGAGGACCAGTTAAAGGAAAACGTCCTAGATCATATATTTCGAAAACGGATCAACTGATCTGAATGAAACTTTCGGAAAAAGTTTAACCAAGTTAAAAGGAAGAAATTATGTGCTGGAGACGAATCAGTCAAAGGTGTAAATTGGAGGGTCATTTCAATATTAGCTTTCAGTCATTGAATCGCTATGAACTGAAAATTTGCTTTCCTATGCAATGTCGGCTCATATGGCACGCAATGGTTATAAGTCACGATGTACCTCGCTATTACCATTTCAGCCATAGTTCGAGTCTCATTAATAACGTCGCAGTGAACTTGGTTTTTTCCACTTCATTAAAATTATATTGTTTTTTTTTACTTTATACCTTTTAACGACTTTTCTTTTTGTTGCAATTTCAACTTCATTTCATGTGTGTGTGTGTGTACATGTATGTGTATATGTATATGTGTGTATATTATGTATGTATGTATGCATGTATGTATGTGTATATGTATATGTATGTGTGTGTACATATATATATATATATATATATATATATATATATATATGTGGGTGTGTATATATATGCATATGTATATATCGGCCTATTTGAAATGTGATTTCCTTGTTTCTTGCAATTAATTATGTAAATGTATTTTTAATGTGTTTAAGTTTAGTGAGTGTTATGTCCGAATTTTATGCCTGTTTCTAATTATTCCAGCTCGTTTTTAATTCAATTGCATTATTTTGATTGTATTTCTTTGCCTCTCCTTGTTGGAGGTTATTTTTAATGAATGAATGAATGAATTGTCATTGTCTTTGAAATTGTTATTATTATTATTATTATTATTATTATTATTATTATTATTATTATTATTATTATTAATTATAGCACAATGAACCTGAACTTAGTCAATCTTTACGTTTTTTTTTTTTCATTTTAATAATGATCCAGATTCAGATTTCATTAAATGTCATAAGGCAAGGCAATGAAATACATTTACAAACTTTGATTAAGGAAAAAAAAAACACTTATAAATACTATACTGTACAAAAATGTTAAAATACTGATAATGATATTAAATAATAAAAAAATATATACTAATCTAGTTTTAAAAGAAAAATTATATTGCAACTACATAGCACCTTAAGTTATGACATAATATTAAATACAAATAAATAAATGCAGCCAGACTAGTGAAAAGATATTAAAATTGTTACGAAAATGATGATGATGATGAAGATAAATAATAAAATTATTGTGCAGACACAGCGACATTTGTAAGACCAAATTGCCGATAATGCTGCTCACCTACTTGCACCTCAGGTTCTTGTGCTCGTTTATTTTTCTTACAAATGAGAACAATCTTTAGGCCTACTCCCTGATGCCACTTAGTTTATTGGGTATCGCATCGTTTGCTTCAAGTAGGCTTTGGTCCATACCTAGGGATAATTAGCTATTTTGATGACAAATAAAATAATGCATACATTTTATTAGTAGGCAATGCAACTATGGTTTTCTAAAACGTAGTTTAAACCTACTTTAAATGATGTTAGTATTTGCTATCACATTTTTAAAATTAAAGCAAATTTATTTTTTTGTCAATTAGTGATTCAAGATCCCTTAATAAGGGGACACCTTCCGGACCAAAAATATACTGTAGGTGTGTCCCCCATATTTAGGAGACACTATTCAAAAACCAGAAATTGACCGTGATATTGTTTTGGTACATAAGCATACAACTTAAAAGAACGATTACATTCGTTATAATATTTATACTTTAATATTCTAAAAATGAATTACACATTTTAATAGTAATTTTTAATAAAAATAAAATATAGCCTATTTATGATTAAAAAAAACCCCCCCACAAATTTAATAAAAAACAGTATAGCTTTTATGAACAATATTTGGCCCTACCTAATTCCCAAATACTTGCTCATAAAATCTCACAAGTGCTTCGGGTAAGAATCGAACCCAGGACCTCCAGATAACACTCTTGGTGTCTCATAGCAAACTGCTTCGATCCAACTGGAATGTGGCTTAAAAGAAAAGAAACAGATAGGCCTCAACCAACATTAATTTTAAGCGTCAAGTCACATGGCTAATAAGGCTTATAATTAAAAATGTGAATGAAATATTATTGTTTTTCGGCCTGTGAATAGTCCTTTGATGATTATGATGATGGTAAATGATGATAATGATTGGAATTATAATGATGATTGGAATTATAATGATGATAATTCTAACGACTATGATGATGATGATGTTGATTATTATCAACACAAAATATTGGATTGCGGACCTCATACGACAGGCAGCAGAAATTTCACTACCTAATTATTTTATCAACATCATCATCATCATCATCATAAAAAAACCACAACCTCTACAAATCTAGCCTGTGTCTTCCCATAGCTTTTATTGCTTCATGATCAATGTTTTACAATATTGAGCACAAGATTGGATGCACAAGATAGGCATACCATGAATAAGCATTGAGTTAGAAATTAGGGTGCAGGTTTTGTAAATTGAAATTCTTATGGCTAAGGTAAAAACTGACAGACAACGCCTATACCTATAGGCCTATACATGGGACAAAGCCCAACTGGAATGCGGCCTATAATGACAAGGCACAGATATGCCTCACCCGACATCCATTTTAAGGATAGAGACTTTTAAATTAATCTCAAATTATACAATAATATGCCTGTTTCCTCAATACATGTCTCTGTTGATGTTGAACAAGATCTGCACTTTGACCTCAATAATTATATCTTAATTTGCATATTTATTTTTTTCGCTAATAAATATTAGATAGTTTACAAAAATCAAAGGCAAACTACTGCATTATTATTAGGCAATAAACATAATAGAACCTACCAGGCTAAAACTTGTCATTAGGTTATCGAGAGGTCAAAAGGTCACAGGTCAATACCCAATTATGGAATCAAACTATTATACTAGTGCAGTCAATCTATTTCAAAACCTATCATAACAAATTGCAAAATGTTTAATGGCATGCATTTTTCTCAGCTACTTGTATATATAGCTTGTTTGACCAATCAAATATCCCATTGCATTTGAAATTGAAGCAATTAACAATTTCAATAACTGAGGATGCACTCGCTTTGCTCGCTCACCCTGTAGTATGTTAAACATCGCGATTAGTTTTGATAAAATAGAAAAAAAATTCATGACCACTAAAAGAAGATTGGCCTAATTACAGACAGACAGAAATACATACAAATTCTACGGAAATATATACTCGTCCTATGACTGGTCCTATACCCCTAACCTCCAGGTTACTGTATTTCACCTAGACAACTCATTGATATATTGTGGTGAACGTTATGCATTAACTGCGTCCATGCTTAACTTTGATAGTCATATTTGTGTTGAAATATGGTAGGGTACAATTTTTTCATAAGAATACGTTTTAAGAACACTGAGGTTGAAAAAAACCAACAAATTTTATCTGTACCTTATAGCCGGAAGTTGGATTATGGGTGGAAAAATTATATTTTCGTGAGTCCTGGCAAAGAGAAAAAAAATGGTTGGTTGTTTTTATGTAGGAAGGGATTAAGGGAAACAACTTATTTCCTTTTACATGGCCTTGGCCAAACCACAGGATTCAATGCGTGACAATTTGAACAATGTAATGTGCACAAAATCATCTAAAGCTTCAGTATATTATAATGACAGTAAAGTCATTATTTTCGCCTCAATTAATCTGAATATGAAATTATATACTGAACACTTTGATGATCTATGTTGTTACAGTTTTTCAGACCGGTTAGTTTTGCATCCATGACGTTATCTGATGTAATGGGTTACATCACTGTGATTTTAGGATTTGAAATAAGCATAATTATAATATAGATAACCCAAAAATGTGTTTAAATTGTAATCAAGCTTCTTGCATCAAGGCAGCATAGGGCACCATAGTTTTCTGTATATGACCAGTCAAAAAGGATGATGTTCCAATTTGCATGCCTACTTTGAACAAATTTGATATTTTTCTTGCGAGGTAAGCTAAACTACTGTATTAATTAATAATGTGTTGTTCATTCACTCAATAACACATGAACAGTATAGGCCTAAGTATAAAGTCCAGACTCAGAAATACCGGGATGGTGTCCGGCGGGGGATAGTTTAACCTCTACACCATTATAGATTATGTATAGTAAGAATG